GTTTTTAGTATTCATATTTAGATTAGAGTTAAGAGCATTTTAAAATTATAGTTAAAAACTCACCTTAAAATTAGATAATAAGCCAATCCATTTTAATATTAAAGGTAATAATATAAATATGGGATAATAGACATTATATGCAGGTTTGGTGTCCTCCTTACTTTAAAAACTTTATAATTAAAAATATTAAGATATTTAAATATTTTTATACAAAATGTCCATAATAGTATTTCACCACTAAATAGTTAAATTGTATTAAGTTATTTACAGACATTTCTTAATAGTGCAAATTTCTAATTTAAAGTACTTTTTTGTTTAACTTTTARTACCTATATTAGGTGTAATGATGTGTGTTTATACTCTATTTCACRAGAACATGCCATTTCTGCGCATCTTCCATCACGACACTTGATATCAAAACCAGCTCCCTAATGGCAGATAAGATGCAGAGAAAAATCGATTTTTGATCAGACGTGGTATGTTCTCTCGTGGAACAGAATATATTCACTGTAATTCATCAAATAGCAGGAGACTAATATGTTGTATCTTAAATTAATACAAATATGCTTTATATCTAAATAATTTCACTTCTAATTGTACATTTTAAAAATATATTTTAATAGAGGATAAATAACTTTTATGGCTAATACAGACATTTAATGCGAGATAAGGTATGAAATGTGAATTTTGAATGTCTCAGAACAAATTTAAGTTTGATCAAATAATATCTTAATTTTTGTGATTTACAACACAATTTCTAAAAAATAACAAAAATGTACTTCTACTTCTGTCGTACTCAATTTTTTTTTTAGACTACTTAGCAAATTAAATTCAAATTTTTGTGCTATGAATGTTTAGTTTACAAATTGTGAATGTAAATTATATTTAAATATTCGACTATTATGTACTAGTACATAAATATAGAATAAACCTTCAAATTTAAAAATTATTCTTATTTTAATGGCTATTAAAAATTAAATATTAAGTGTGTGCGCCAAAATATACATGATTTCTCAAAAAAATAACTTTTTATAATTTATAAATATCACCACATTCATACAAAATTATTAAAAATTACTTATTTTTTAATTATCAGTTTTRTGTTTATAATTCTAGGTTCTGATATTACTGACATATTTTATATTAAATACTTTATAAGGCATAAATAAAAGTAAAAAAAAAAGTACATAATATGGATACTTGATCACGAGCATTGGAAATTTAATGAATCGAAATAAATATAATCAATGTATGAAAAAACTCCTCTTATGACATAGGTTTTGTAATTATAAAAAAATACTTTTAAAAATTTAAGAAAGTAAAGTGTATCAAACAAATCTAATTGAATAGGGATAAAAAAAAATAAAACAAAACAATTGATACTTAAAAATTGTCCTAACATACCTTTTGTCCTAAACAATTATTTTAACCATGGGCTAATTTTTTTTTTAGAGTAATCATATATATTTTTTGATATGACGATAGCTGATGTCCGTTGAGGTGGGATGTCGTACCACCTATAAACAAGGCAATGTAACATTCTTTACTCAATTAGGTTAGGTTATCACAGGCCGACAGATTTCATACACGGCTAGTACATTATTACCTGTCCAGCCACCAACATTTTTAGAGGTAGCCAGACAATATATTGTATAACTTACCACCCATAAAACCATAAGTGAGCATCAAGACATTGACGTTTGGTGATAGTGTGCTGAGCGCAAAGGCAATAGACGCGATGATACTGCCTGCTATGCACACTACACGACATCCATATTTGTTTGTTAAAGCACTGACTATAGGACCTACAAAAGAAAAAATGATGGTTAAAAATTATTGGTGTGTTGAAAGATAAACATAATGGGATTTTTGTAAGAACCTGGCCAAAATTTAAATTTAAGATTAACGTTTTAAAAGTTTATCTCAAATAAATAATTTGTGGACAATCTCTTTAGTAATCTCTCTTTAATTAACTTGTAAGACAGTTTTTATGACAACATTATGTTTATTTTATTATTATATGTATTATCAAAATATTAAAAAAAAAATTTAATTAAAGATGACAACACAAAACATTAATGAATATAATAAATTAATAACAAACAATTTAATGTTTACAATTATTACAAWATACCGGAGCATCAATTACRTCATACTCAAAACTTTTAAGTTAGTTGTACGATGGCTACAGAAATATCAATATTATTGACATCAAATAATCAATAATAATTAGTTTTAGTTTATGTCTATAGGCAATACACTATTTAATACTTTTGACTTCAAGGGAATGGGGAAATTTAGTACCATTTCATAAAAAATGKTTTTCATCACTGTAAGACTTATAAGACAATCCAACTAGATTGTTTTGTTATTTCTTACAACTTTTATAATAGGTGCTTAGGGTTAACAATAAATTATTTATTTTAATATTTACATAATATTAACAAGAATAAACCAAGTCTTTTAAACTAACCATGTACCCTGTACCCCACTCAACTATACTCATTCGTGATTAACAGCATTGTCATTACTCARCACTAAATAGTTTCGATTTTAGCCGRGTTTTCACGAAAACATCGCTCTAATGCCAGGTCCAGACCAAGAAACATTGTCGACATGTGTTTCAGACAAATTTTCTTTTAGTCTGGACGCCGCTCAACAGAGCAGTGCGAAACAACATACCTGCGCTGAGGTACATTCCGGACAGGAGACTGCCAACCCAAGCAGTCTTGCCCTTGCCTTCTCCAAAATACTTGACGAATTCGCCGAGGAACACTCCAAAGGTGTAAGCGATTCCGTCRACAACCATGTTGCACATGAAGCTGGCGAACACGATGACCCAACCGTATCCGCCATCAGGAGGAGGCGGAAGATCGTGATACTCGCAAAACGAAATGCCGTCGTCATCGGTGTTTTGCACTGGCCCCATGGCCAAAGGCGGGGAACTGGCATTTTGCCGGCCTGCTTCATCGGCTCGGTCGACGGCCGAACATTCGCTTTCAGTCTGAAACGATAGAAACCAACAAATGTAAAAAAAAATGACGAAACACGTTTTAACAAATGGCAGACAGTACGAAACGAATTCGCTTCGTCGGCAACGTTTATTGAGTAAAGTTAAATAAACAAACAATAATTTTTTTATATATATATATAAACGAGACACTATAAATATTTAATGTTAAAACAGTATGGCACATGTATTATAAAGTCAAATAGTTTCAATGACATTAGGTCAAATAAATGTAGTATATACTTTAGTTCCATTCATGTTTTCAATTTTATCATTTATATATACAATGTGTAGTATGCCGCTTCGACAGTCGTGTACAATTAAACATTCACTGCGAGCATTGGCGAGCTGGCGCCAAATTATTTGTTAACGCAATTGAAGAACTGTCTCATAGAGTCGAATCACTAACGTTCATCAATTTAAAATCGAAACTAAGAAAAAAAAAAAGAAAAAAACGACCGAGACAATAAGATTGTACCTAACGAATATTCCGCGACTATGATGAGATGTGTTTCGAATCATGTGATATTTCGAAGCATTTCGCTCGATCATCACACGATCGCGAATAAGTCCTCGAAGAAGATAAGATTAATAGTTTAATACTAATTCTATATAGCTGTTTATAGAACACAATATTCACTGCAATATTAGTAGGTATATAGACATCACAACCAATTAACGTGAGTCTTAGGACATTTATACCGACGTRTATACCTATTCTATAGTATACGAGTCTGATAAAACGTTCAACGTAGGTACTAAATACACGTGTATAGTCTATAGACAAACAAATAACCAATACAAGGTCAAAAAACTACAGACATGGAGAATTAATACTTTGTTACTAATGAAATCGAAAATTTTTTTTAGGGCGAGATATTTGATTTTTAGAAGATGTAAAAAACATAACTAGTATAATGTAATATACGACGGAGCTGTGATTGAACGATAATCAAAACTTATTTTATAGACTAAAATATATATTTWAAAAAAGGAAGCATAACATATTATGTATGTACGACGGCAAATAATASTAAACACATAATACGCTGTGAGATTTTCTTCTAATTCTAATGCAAATATTTAATCAAAATATATATTCGACACGTGAGGCAATTATAATACATAATACATTTATATCCGTTACCTATAATTTAATCGCATTTAAAATATATACCGATATTTTATAGGTATATCAAATATGGCATTCGAACTATAAACGTTTCGCTTCGTAATACTGTATTTCAGTATTTAAATTTTTATAGATTTTAGAAATAAGTAGGTATAATAAATGAGGATTGAGTGAATACCACCTATTGATACATTACTAAGTTCTAACATACTTTACAAAAATTCGGGGAAAAAGTATATTAAGCTGCTTCGTAAAATATTGTTATGAGCGAAAAATCTTTTTTTTAAGCAATTTACACAATCCAAAGCCTCATGCATTATAGTGCATTTTCATTTGAGAAAATTTAAGAGAAATTATTAATTTAGTAGCAATCAGTATCAGTATTTCGAATATAACCTAGTTKTATGTGTATATCTATTGCGTGCATACAACATGTCTGAGAACTGAGACAAATCTACGATCAGTGGCGTACGGTTCCGGATAGGCAAGCTGGGYAAGGACCTAAAACTGATGAGGACCCTAGCCTAACCAAAAATACCGTTTTCTTTATGTGTTAGATTACAGATCTCGCAACAAAATATGGAAATAATATAGTTTTGGTAGTTGAAATAAATGTCAAATTTAAATAGTGAAAAGTAATATTTGTTTATTTTTAAAAAATTAAGAGGCCTTAGGAAATCGTTTGCTACGAGCCCTAAAATCTTAGTTACGTCACTGTCTACGATGGATTCTTCCTAACGTCAGCTGTAGGCAGAATTTCATCTCATTGTTAGGGATACTTTATATTTCACGATAAATGTAACATTTTAATACTATAGTATTGTTATGTAATCGATTCAATGTGATACCCCGCATGAACCACGACAAAAATGAAATGTGATGACGTTTCCGAACCGACACCGGGCAGTGTATCATGTAATTTATGACGATTTTGAAAAAATCTAATGAACAATGATTAAAATACATCTACATCAATTAAAATTTTAATAATACTTTATGCCCTATTAATCAAACAAATAGAAAACAGAACAATAAATAATATACATATATAATGAATGGTTTGATAAAATATTTATCACAACGACTATATACCGAATTATATTACATTGTTAACCATATAACTGCAACGTACATATTTACATAATTCAAAACAATGTTTCATCACGTCGTCTGTTATTAGGTCGTAATAAAAAAGATATAGGTGATGCATAATTGCCATAATGGCGCAGTGCTAAAATTACTACTTATATGTAGGTTAAGTATTTGTMATTTTCTAATATATATCATAGTTGGTAATTAATATAATTTTGTAGAAAATACTGGCTGTTATAGTATTAAAGACGTTAATCCAGCAACAATATTATATTAATATAATATAATTTGACTTTTTTATTAAAAATAACAATATTTTAGAAATACTGAAAAAACTCGAGAAAAATTAATAAATTATTTTGTACTATTATAATGTGGAGAGAATAA